AGACGCTGGTCAGTGTGGCTTGGCAAAGGCAGGGAGACACGGACGGCGAGAGGATAGAAGCACGGTGCAACGTCCAGATCAGGCTGCGTTGCCCTCTGTCGCCCACCACGTAGCCCTGAGGCCTACAACAACCTGCTGCTCATGGTGGTGGCCCATCCAAGAACTATCTAGGATCACCGGTTGCTTTAACTTCCGAAACCTCACCGGTAAATACTGTCCTTCGCAAAAAGTAAACGTCGTATATAGGACAGCAAGACTTGCAGTAGAGCAGAGACTCCCAATACATATTAGCCGCTGACATTTTAGAACCTTCACAATAACCTTCGCATCTGGCACAATTTCAAAAATGCTACACGGACAAACTTCCTCGTGAAATCATTATCTATTGCCTTTGAATTATTTAGAGCGGTGCACAACCTGCGCTGCAGAAATGACGTCCGTTGTTTTGCCCGGTGCAAAGGGGGACGCGATGAAGGTGCCTGGGTCAAAGGTGGCTTGCTCAGGATTGATGAGTCAACCCCCCTCTCTTTTATTTTTACTATTACTATGCCACTCACAGGGTCTCAAGACCTTTGAATGCCGGTTGTTTACTTTGTGTGGCTAGTTTACGTTTCACTGCGAGTCTCCAGTATGTGACTGCAGTCATTCTAGATTTGAAGTTTTCGTGACTGCAATGATTCATACTCTTTGGTTTTTCGGTAAAGCGGTTTGTGCTTTCGCCAAGTTGTCCCCACCTGAAGAAGGATGCTTGTGTTGCGCCCGAAACGTCGTGATTTAATTTAGTTTATTTTTTACCTATGTGACTTTACCGAAAAAACCAAAGAGCAGAACAGACTGTACAACCTATACCGACGCAATGCCCCGATCCACAAATAGGAAGGAGACATCGCAGCGATACACTCCCCAGCTCCTGACACGGTTATCTGCGCTTGACCACTGAAAGTGAAATTTTAGTTGTTGCTCTGCATCTACATCAGCAGCCATACGAAAGCATAAGACGAAGGCTGCAAATTTCATAAAGTCTCTCCGGCACTTACAACGTGCCTACACCTATCACTGCATATTTTATTCATTTTATACGTACGTATGTAGAACTTCTTTCGCACTGTATGTAGCCAACCGTGCTAATCGAAGATGGAGAGTGTTTACGTTAGCTGAGAGGATCCGAGACCCATACACGGACATCTGTGAAACTACAGGACATCAGTGAAAAAGAGCATTAAAGCTCATCAGATTCCTCCAGTATAAATACACATTCTAATTCTATACATCTCATTTACAGCGGAGGCATGTTGGTCCCACGAGAGAGTCATCGATTTCTTTGTGCGTGAAACCAAGCGGAGAGAAACACTGGCCCTGGGCTTTGACCCGTGTGAGATTTCATCCAGGACACCTTATCCCCTTAAAGATTAACCGGGGTGTGGGGAAGAGCAATGTAGACCAGAAAGGGCTCAAAACCGCTGGCACCAAAGCCAGCAATTAGCCCACGAATACAAAGCAGACCTTTTGCTTGTCAGTAAGCAATGGAGGTGGAAAAGACTTCGATTTTGGGAGTTTTTTTTCCCCAATTAAAAAAAAAATACCCATAAGCTACTCATTGAAATAAGTAAAAATGCATTAATTAATTGGTGGAGCGGTGGCGCTTTGGATAGGGCATTGCGATAATGTAAAGCCAGCTAAGAAAGTTTGATTCCCAGCCGCGGCTAACATCAGTGGCTCGTGATATCTGGAACGGTTATAGACACCCCCCCCCCTTTCACCGAACCGCACTGCTAACCAGCGTGGAGAAATATGGAGGGCCCTTAATTCAGTCGTGGATCGACAAAGGGCTGTATACGATTACTGATTATATTAATTCATCATACTTATACAATGGCTATATAAATAATCCAGTAACCACTGAAGTGTGTTTTCCCACCTCAGGTGGTACCAATTTGTGCTCTGGCAGACGCCCTGACTATCTGGCGAAGAATCCGTGGATTTGTCTGAAGGCAAGTCAAGATGAAACGAAGTGCAGCACCAGTCACATCTATGATCATAATAATAAAAACAACAACGTCGTGTGTTTATCCAGACTCGCAGAGTCCCAAGGCACTTTTTCACGAGGGTCCTGCATTGGGAGTTTTGCCCAATTCCACATTAAAGAATATTCTACACACGCGGTGTTAAAGAGATTACCGTGAGACACCCCACACATACGAGGAGAAAGATAACATCTGTGGGTCCACAAACACTGGGTTTGACTAATCCACTTGCTGTACTGCCATCCCTCTGCCAAGCAAGAGAGTTCAACACGCATGCATGATAAAGCAAGCATATAGCCCATCGCCAGGCACGCCGTGGTGGGGTAAAGTGTGGGTAGGCCCACTTGTTCTTAGAGCTTCGAGTGGATGGCATTCTGTCAGCGGTGGCATGAATAAGTAATTGCAGGGGCTGCACCTTAATCTTTACCACAATAGAAGAACTGCCCCCACAGCCTGTGTAAACAACGCAGGTAAGGCTTTGGCATCCTATCAGGATGGAACCATTTGGTGTTGAAGCACGGTGTACATATGTTCTAGATTTGAAGCTTTCGTGACTGCAAGGATTCATATTCTTAGGGTTTTTTTCGGTAAAGTCACGTAGGTAAAAAATTTAAATTAATAAAAGTAAAATAAAAATCACGACGTTTCGGAGGCAACACAAGCTTCCGTCCACCTGAAGACGGAAGCTTGTCCACCTGAAGACGGAAGCTTGTGTTGCCTCCAAAACGTCGTGATTTTTATTTTATTTTTATTTTACTTTTATTAATTTAAATTTTTTACCTACGTGACTTTACTGAAAAAACCTAAGAATATGGTGTACATATGCACGCCGAATTTCTTTCGGACCGTACGTAGCCAACCAACCGTGCTAACCGAGAGGTGCGGGTGCGCGTCGTCGGGGCTGGCTGAGAAGAGGGAATCTGGTTCGGTTGAATGACGGCCGTTGGGAAATGAAATCCTAAACCGATGAAGAAAAACTGGTCTGCTGGCCGAGGAGGTTCGTACGCCAGCGGCTACACATCCTGCTTGGAGCAAGCCTGGGCAGATCACGCATTCTCACGAGCCGGTGTCGAAGTTCATAGAGGGGGGCGGGGGGTGAAACGTGTAAGGCGTCCTAAGTAACTGTCCGTCGGCGGATAGTATTGCTGCGTGTTTTCTGTGCTCACCACAGGAGAGTGGGAGGGAGGGAGAGTGAGGGGGAGACCCTGCGTCGGATGCCACCACGCCCTGAAAGCAAGCTGGTAATGCCTGCCCAGCGAGTGAGCCTCCGGAGAGGGACGGACGCCATCGCCGCCCTCTCCCACGCAAGCTCGCGACGGAGAGACTTTGTACTGGCGCTGCTCTCGGCATTGTGTCTGACGGGCATACACGGCAAGCGAGGAAGCACGTTGAATAAAAGGCTAGTTTCGCAAGCGGTAGAGTGTTGCACGTGGATGTTAATCTTCCCCCTCATCATGAACTCACGGTACACGTACAGCCCTTTGTCAATCAGCTGCGCAGAGATGTTAACTACTTCGCCTGGTATGCAGGAGGTCATGAGATCGATCGCGACCCTGAAGCTATATATTTGGAGTTTGCACGTTCTCCCCGTGGTCGCGTGGATTTTCCTCCGGCTCCTCCGGTTTTTCCCTCCACATTTAGAATCAACATCACGTGTGAAGAGTATTTGGCTACGATACATTTCCACACGATAAGCCACTTCGTTGAGCTATAATTTGTGGCCAGGTCACTTCTGATAAGTGAATTTATGTCGTTTGGGTCGTGGGCATAATTTAACCATACTTCACCCTTTCCCAGTCAGTGCGGATTGATGAAAGTGGGAGGCGTAGATGCGGCAGCGTCGTTCGACTGCTCTCTGCTGCTGCCCACGGCGTGACACGGCCGTCACCCCCCCACCGCATCCACCTCGACAACGTGGCGTGCACGATGGCTCCCCCCCATCACGGCATCACCCGTATGCCGCACCACCGATAAACAAGGTTGGCTACGTACATACGACGCGAAAGAAGTTCAACATACATAGACACATTTCGGCCTCCAACTTGCTCGGCTTCCAATATCGGACGTGTTCGGAATTAATTTGCTCGTTTCGGGGGAATTGTGTTTTTTGTTGTTGTTGTTGTTGTCATTCGATCGAGGGTTACTTTATAACAGCTTATGATTCTTTGAAACGTCGTGTTTTCAAGGGAAGCAATGAAACCAAGTCACAGGAGGATCTATGAACCGATGGACTGCTACTCTGCACTGCCTGGGGCTTGTCGTCTTGACGGTACCAGAGTTGGGGAAAAATAAAGCACTTGCACTTCCTTCTGCACTCATAAACAACCCCCCACAGGATGGTCAGTCGCCTCAACACACATGCAACTACAGCCAGCCCGGCTGTGTGGTTCATTTCTCTACTGAATAATTATCCCTTCAATTGATTATTTCCCTTCGATTGATGGGTCGAGTAATTACTCAATGGAGAGCAAGAACACAGTGAGAAGAACAAAAAAACCCATCATCTCTGCTCCCACACGTGCCGCTGGACGGGCAGTGACAGACAAGACTCGGCGATGTCATTGGCGTCGTCGGCCGCGTCACGCCAGGGAGTGGCTTCTCAGGGGTTTCCGGTCTTCGTGCGTGTCAGGAGGGGGGGGGGGCGGCTCCCGTCGTCACAAGGGGTCCAACGCAATCGACCACGACGACGACAGCCGATTACAATTCACGTCCGGCTCAATCGATGCAATCGGGAGATGGGCACGGCAGTCAAGCGAGTGCGACACGCAGCGTCCGTCGCAAAATGAAATGGGGCGAGGAAGCCCGGGGTGCGCGTTGGAACGCCGGCGAGCGACCGTGCAACGGCATGGAGGAAGCGGCCATCATGCGGTACGGAGCGTGGACTGTGATGGCGAGAGCGGTGGGAGGTGGTGGTGTTGATGGGGGGGGGGGCGCGGAGGTCAGGGAAGGGAGAACGGATGCCGGCGGTGGACTTACCGCGACGAGACGTTTTGGGCATGGTTTGCATGCCGACGGGCAGACCCACGACGCTCATGCGGTTCACCAAGTTTGCCACGTTGCCGGTCTTCTCGCCGTGCCGGGTCAGCGTGCCCTCCTTCTTGCCGCTGTCCTCCCTCTTGAGTTCCTGTTCGGGGAAGCGTCGCATGCGGACACGGGGACACGGGGTGGGGGGGCACACGCAACGCACACGTTAACATCACCGTCACCATTATATTTTGTACGTAGCCAACCAACCGTGCTAATCGGAGGTGCGGGTGGGGGGGAAAGGACAACAAACTCAACACAAAAAGCATTTAATAATGCAACAAAACACACGTGATGAATAAATAAAATAAAGAATAAGCACCACCAGCATGCGTTTTTGTCTAATATTATACATAATCCCACCATGCAAATTCTCGCGTGAAGAAATATTGTTTTTAATTTACATGTACAGGACACGACCTGGGACTTCCTTTCGGTACACATTTATGACCAAGTCCAGCAGGTATGATATGTTAGCTGTGGCCGGGGCAGAAATCAAACTCAGCTTGCCGGGTTTGTGGTGCAACGTGCTAACCACTACGCCAGGGCTCCCCCCCACAAATGGAGACAGAAAAAAAAACCCATAGACGAGCACATACACAACAAAAACAAAGATCTCCTGGATAGCATTAACATACTTTTCGAGCAAGTGCTGTTAGCGAGTACCTATGAAGGCCGGCACGGCACACGAGGCGGTGGGTGGCCAACACCATGCTGATGTTTACACACCACACCAGGTACTCATTTGAGGTCGAGTCGACTTAGGGGAGACCCAAAACCGATTCAGATAATTGTCAGTGGTGTTGGCCATGAGCGGGAATCAAACTTGGGTCGCCTGGTTCGTAGCGCAGCAAGCTCACAAAGACACACATCACATGCGAATACGCACATATGGACAAACTGACCCACACTCGCACAGATAAATGCCACACACAAATAATAAATGTATTTTTTCCCGTACAGATCCACACTGGCGCACACGCCAACACACTCACACATACGCCCATGCATATTTAAGAAGAATATCTGAAGATGACCTCGAAATTCCTCCGCAGCCCCACTGAGCGGGGGTATAATATTTGGCCGCTCGACATGCAAAGAGCAGCATGGGCACTGTACACCCTCGCCGCTCTCCGCTATAAATCCCCTCCAGATTATTCGTATTATTTTTTTCTCTGCTGAAAGCAAGCACAGAGAGAGGTGTGTCATCATCGCTGCATCACCGTGGCATCAATTTCGCGTCTGCGACCTCTGACTGCGAGCATCGCCGCGCCACTTACTCCTTTGACAATTTCTTGATTTTGTCTCAAGAAGGGCCTTCATGTGCTCCCCCCCACCCCTCAAAAGGCACATGGCAGGACAGAACACACTGTGCTTGGCGCATCTTGGGCTCCCTTCGCAGCTTCGTACAGGGGTTACTGGCTATGCCCCTCCGAGCAGAGATGCAACAATTTGTATGCACGTCGCCTTTATCGATTTATAAAGGCTCTCGCCACGGTGGCGAGGTGTTAACTACATGGTCCGGTATGCAGGAGGTCATGGATTTGATCCCGACCCTGAGGCCTAAATATGGTAAATTTAAAAAATAGTTTATAGTTTGGTTTTACAAATAAAAGGAAGCATGCGTGTGGTGGGGAGTGGTCGTCAAGCAGATTAGCTCGCTATAGTGTGGGTTGGCGATGGGGGGGGGGCTACGGTCTGGTTCAGATATCACTTGCCACTGATATTAGCCATGGCCGGGAATCAAACTCAGGTCGCCAGGTTCATAGTGCAGTGCCACTACTCCACCCAATTCCACTTTGGCACGTGTTTTCTCATGTGGGAGGGCAGTGGAATTTCCAGAGACAACCCACAAGTAGAAGGGGATAATACAAATATCCTCCATACTGTGTTAACAGACTGTTTGGGCAAGTGCTGTTAGTGAGCACCTATGAAGGCCGGTACGGCACACGAGGGGGTGGGTGGCCAGCACCACGCCCGGCCGCCTTTGTTTCCCTCGTGGCAATGTTTATTACACGGAACCAAGCTTTCATTTGAGGCCGAGTCGACCAAGGGGGAGGCCCAGGACCAGTTCAGATAATCATCACCGATGTTGGCAGTAATAAGCAATCGACCTCGGGTTGCCGGGTTTGTAGCACAGCACGCCAACCGCTACACCACTGCTCCTCACAAGAAGGGTCCACATGGACAAGGTTAATGCAAATGCTGTACTGACATCCCCTAGCCGCATGACAGACCAGTCGGTTTGGCTGGTCACCCCGTGGTGCCCTTATAAAACTTAACGTTTAACCTACTCACACCGGCTTGTGCCCGCCCTCACAGTCGGCCATATTTGCGGAATACACCACGCCGCCGTTGACCCTGGCCATTGACCGAGCAACCCAACGTTCCTACCAGTTCCCTCCGCAGGAATGTGTTGCAGTGGCGACCTGGACACACATGATAGCTCACAGAAGTTGCTTAACTTGTGGAAATGAATAGTTGCAGTCATAAAATCAGCATGTTTCTCATATACGTAAATGTCATCATGAGCCATTGTATATCCACTGCTGGGTGAAAGCAGCTCCATGCTGTGGCCATCTCTCACAACACTGCCATCTCTCGGATTAAGAGCAGCCTCACAAATTCTAAACAGTCGTCGACAAATGCAACCGGGCTAACGTTAACTTAAACAACCGCCACCATGATAAATAAGCCGAGTTCACGTCAACAAATCTGCACTGCTTGACACTTTAAGGATATGGTGTTCTCGAAACCTTTCTTGTTCCAACTTAAAACATACAGAACACGGCTTAAACGAGTAGATTTATTTACACGAGCGTGCAGCCGTTTGCCGAATGAAGGCCTCCACATGCTGCTGCAGATAGTCGAGATTGTTTGACCGGACTTCAACAACCATCATTATGGTCAGTGGTGGCTTGGTGAAGTGGGGAGTGGGGCCCAGCGTCGACTATCACTCGCCAACGATGTCCAGCAGTGGCCAGGAGTCGAACTCAAGGTCGCGGGGTTCACGCGGTGCAGCACACCGACCACACCACCGCGTATCTCGAGCAAGACGCACCAATTACGTTGTCGGTGACATCTATTCATTCATATTATTGGTTCTTTCGGTAAAGTCACGTAGAAGGGAAACAATAAAATAATAAAAGGAAAAAACAATAAAATTCTCACGACGTTTCGACTGCAACACAAGCAATCATCATCAGGTGTGAAATCCACGAAATTGATTGCTTGTGTGGCAGTCGAAACGTCGTGAGAATTGTATTGTTTTTTCCTTTTATTATTATATTATTTCCCTTCTACGTGACTTTACCGAAAGAACCAAGAATATGCATCCCTGCATTCACGAAAGCTTTAAATCAAAATCTATTCATTCTTTCGTTTCATCCTCCCACATTCCCAGCATAAACCCCCATCTGGCCGTTCGTCTGGCCAGCATAAATATTTTTTTTCTCGCACAGCGAGCACTGTTTTTTAACACGTGGCGGAGCGCGGCGCAGACACAAGGCAAGGCGCGTTCCAAATCGCGTTACATAAAGAAACACCGCACATCGCCGCCGCCGCCACCGCCACTACATTAGCCTGGCTGACGGGACGAGCCAACACGGACACACCCAAGCAGTCTGCCAACAGGACAAACAGGTTATGGTACCGACACTCAGGGCTCTTACCTAACCCCCCACAGTAAGTGGGGTCTTGGTGCAGTTTATGGCGTGAAGTGGGGAGGGGGGCTTTGGAATGGAGAATGCGTGAGTGAGTGTCCCAAGCGTGTGTGAGTGTGTAAACGCCACTCCGTGTCACGCCAGCAGTCAGTGACCAATGAAGGGACGCTTCCCTCCGGTTAGGGAAAACCCCGCGACAATTAATTACTGGGAGAGAGAGAAAAACAAGCCACCAAGAAGCCCAGCACCAAGAGATATTGGTACAGCAATTTTCTCACAAAGCGCCAATGTAATCGTTATCCATTATCTATTCTAGATTTGAAGCTTTCGTGACTGCAAGGATTCATATTCTTAGGTTTTTTCGGTAAAGTCACGTAGGAAAAAAAATGTAATTAATAAAAGTAAAAGAAAAAGAAAATAATTATATATTATTGTATTTTTATTTTACTTTTATTAATTTTATTTTCGGTAAAGTCACGTAGGTAAAAATTTAAATTAATGAAAGTAAAAAAAAATTATATATTATTTTATTTTTATAAAAGTACAATAAAATAATTATATATTATTTTATTTTACTTTTATTAATTTAAATTTTTTACCTACGTGACTTTACCGAAAAAACCTAAGAATATGAAGCCATTATCTAGCCACTGCTGTATTAAAGCAGCCCCCGCGCTCCTGCCATCTCTCAAGCAACCTTGCCGTCTATCGGCACTTAATTGGTACATCTTGATGCTCACAACCAAGATAGAAACCAAACACCAACCCACGGTTAGAAGAGTTGTGACGCCTACGTTGTCCGCTTTTTCCATGAATAAGCGTGCATCACCCATGGCTCTGGCACAGCTACAAAAGCATTGTCTCATCTCTGGGTTTGGCCCACCTAATTATTTTCTATTAATAAGTAACAGAAAAAAACCACAATTGCATTCAAATCAAGACTTCCCTGGTATTATTAGCATATAGGTGGGTACATTTCCATTTTCCTTTAACGGAATTGTTGAGAACTCCTTAACAACCCATAATCTGATCTGTGGTATATAATCTGAACTTGTGGTATTTTCACAGCGGCATCCTGATTATAGCTGCCTAGGATTGGAATAAATTTACGAGCTGTGATTTCTGCACGGTTTTTTTTTCACAGCATCGTGTTAACTAGAGCCGTCAATGATTGACTGGATTTTTAGTCACATGCTTGGCCTGTTTCTGCTTCCTCATTCTCTCCACCCTTATGGCGTTAATTAGAAACAAGTTTTTTTTACGAGACTAACACTTTTATCCTGGCGTTGAGCAAGACGTGACGGCCAGTGGTCGAGACTCACGGTGGAGTGTATGTAAGTGTGTGTGTGTGTTCAACTTCTTTCGCACCAACCGTGCTCATCGGAGTGGTGGTAGCCAAGGCATGAAATGAGCACCCAAGAGGTCAATCGCGCACCCA